GCCCCCGGCGGCCGCTCCCTGGTGCAGCGGGACATCCACGCCTTCCTGAACCAGTGCGGGGCCAGCCCCGGCGAGGCGCGCCACTGGCTCTCCCAGTTCCAGACCTGCCACCCCTCCTCCGCCGACAAGCCCTTCGCTGTGATCGAGGTGAGAGGAGCCGCCGCGGGCCGTGTCACGGCGGGACCTGGGGCTGAGTGGCGACACGTCGGCGGGCGGGCAGGACCGGCGGCAGGCTCTGCACGGCGGAACCGGGAAGGGGGCCCCAGGACCGGGCGAGGCTTTGAGCTCTTCCCAGAGTCTGGCGCCCAGTCCGAGATGCGCTGGAGAAGGCTCCCCACCATGGGCACAGTTAGGGGTTCCGATGGCAAGTGGGGAACCTGGGCGGGAGTCACTTCCGTCACCCCTCCCCCCAGTGTCCTAGAGTCCAAGGTCGCAGGGAGGAGCGAGGGAGGAACCCTAGAGTGAGATAAGGGGATGGCAAGACCCAACGGGGCAAAGGGCGGAGCAGGTGGGCCCCGGTAGCCAGAAATGGGGCCTGGGCAGGGGCGGGGGGGACTCCTCGGGGGCCCTGAAGGCCAGGCCGCGGGGCCCAGCGGGTGCGGCAGGAGTCCGGCCAGTGCGGCTCTCTGACCGCCCGCTCCCCCGCAGGTGGACGAGGAGGTGCTCAGGTGCCAGCAGGGCGTATCCAGCCTGGCCTTCGCACTGGCCTTCCTGCAGCGCATGGACATGAAGCCGCTGGTGGTGCTGGGGCTGCCGGCTCCCACAGCGCCCTCTGGCTGCCTTTCCTTCTGGGAGGCCAAGGCCCAGCTTGCTCAGAGTTGCAAGGTGCTGGTGGACGCGCTCCGGCAAAACGCGGCTACAGCTGTGCCTTTTTTTGGTGGCGGGTCGGTGCTGAGCGCGGCTGAGCCAGCCCCTCACGCTAGGTCAGTGCCAGCCCTGCCTGCCCCTTAGTGCTCAGATCACATGGCCCGTCTGCTCGGCCCCAGCCCAGCGGGCCTGGAGGAGGCCCTCTTGAACACCACGTCTGGCCCACAGCTATGGGGGCACCATCTCGGTGGAGACCGACCTGCTGCAGTGGTGCCTGGAGTCGGGCAGCATCCCCATCCTGTGCCCCATTGGGGAGACAGCCGCGCGCCGCTCCGTGCTCCTGGACTCGCTGGAGGTGACGGCCGCCCTGGCCAAGGCGCTGCAGCCCACCAAAATCATCTTCCTCAACAACACGGGCGGCCTGCGGGACAGCAGCCACAAGGTGCGTCCCCTTCCTTCAGGCTTCACCCACGGCCGCTGGCCTCGCTGCCCCCTCAAGCCGAGAATGGAGGGCCCGGGAGGGGCTCAGCTCGGCTTGAGCTCTTCCCAGAGTCTGGCGCCCAGGCCTTGCCCATTCGGACCTCAGGCCCAGCAGAACCCCCCACTCCTCTCTTTCCTTCAGAATTGAGCCCTCTCTGGCCAAGGATTCTGGGAGGTGGTGAGGGTAAAGGGGTCAGCAAGAAGAGGTCCCTGGGGCAGGGTGGTCCATGGCCGGCTGCGGTCAGAGGCTCAATTCCTAGCCCCGACGCAGGTCCTGAGTAACGTGAATCTGCCCGCTGACCTGGACCTGGTGACCAATGCGGAGTGGGTGAGCACCAAGGAGCGGCAGCAGATTCGGCTCATCGTGGAGGTGCTCAGCCGCCTGCCCCACCACTCCTCGGCCGCCATCACTGCTGCCAGCACGCTGCTCACCGAGCTCTTCAGCAACAAGGGTAAAGGCAGCAGCAAGGGGGTGGGGGCCGAGCAAGAGAGGGCGGGGCCCAGGGAGTGAGTGCATGCCCCCGCGGTGGGGAAGCAGGCCGCAGGGGGACTCCTCAAAGGCTCTCAGCTCTGGCGGAACTGGGCGGAGGGCAGCCAGGTGCAGGAGACTGAGCGGGAGGTTGAGTGGAACTAGAGAGATGGGCGTGACTTGGGAGAGTGTGGCAACTCCGTAGAGGGCGGAGCTTGGAGGGCAACACGAAGGGGAATGGACCGGCCTAGGAGGGGGGGCGGGGCGGGGGCGGGACTAGGTGAAGTAGGTGGGACTCCAGGCCGTGGGCTGAACTGCAGGGACAATCTGCCTGGGAAATGCATTTGCCTGGGAGAAAATCACCTTCAAATCTATGCAGACCACTGAACCCATTTCGCCGGGGCGATCTCCCGAAGCGGGTGATTGTCCCATCAGCCCCCGTCCTATCTGGAGCCCCCCAGGCTGCCCCAACGGAGCGGATGAGACCTCGCTCTCGGGCTGAACTAACCCCGCCTCCTTCGTCCCACCCCAGGGTCCGGGACCCTCTTCAAGAACGTGGAGCGGTTGCTGCGAGTGCGCAGCCTGGACAGCCTGGACCAGGGCCGCCTGGTGAACCTGGTCAACACCAGCTTCGGCAAGAAGCTCCGCGAGGACTACCTGGCCTCGCTGCGCCCGCGGCTGCACTCTGTCTACGTCTCCGAGGGGTGAGCCTGGGGGCCCAGAGGGCAGAGGCCCCGGGACACAGCCCGGCCCTTCGGACCAAGGAGAAGTCCCAGCCTGACTTTCCCCGCCGCGCCAGGTACAACGCTGCCGCCATCCTGACCACGGAGCCCGTACTGGGGGGCACCCCGTATCTGGACAAGTTCGTGGTGAACTCCAGCCGCCAGGGCCAAGGCTCCGGCCAGATGCTGTGGGAGTGTCTGCGGCGGGACCTGCAGACGCTTTTCTGGCGCTCCAGAGTGACGAACCCCATCAATCCCTGGTAGGTTCTGCCCCACCCAGCCCGGAGCTGGGCACCATCCCCCTCCCTCACCAGCCCTCGCCAGCCACACCCGGGTCCACCAGGCAGGAAGGCGAGGCGTCCCCTTCTTTCACCAGCTGTCCTTCCCCAGGGAAAGGCCCCGCCCACTGTGGCCCGCTCTCCAGGACCACACAGGGAGCCTCAGATTTCCTCCCAGGCAGTCGACACAGAACAACCCCCCTTCCACCCCCACCCCACTCCCCCATCCCCAGCGCTGCAACAGTGGATTCCTGGAAGCAAGCGACAGCCCTTCCCCCACCCCCATCTTTCCCAGGGTCCTGAGAAATTCTGATCATTCAGGCTCTACTCCAGGCCCAATTGCCCGCTCGGACCTCAGGCCCAGCAGAACCCCACTCCTCTCTTTCCTTCAGCAACTCTCCCCTCACTCCCCATTACTCTGCTCTGTGGGCACCAAGTGGTGAACAGAACCTCTTCCCTGGCTGCACAGCCAAGGCAGTGTGGAGAGAGCAAGGGGTGTCCTCATGCTCGCCCCCGCTGTGAGACTGGCAAGCTACCAGCTCCTCTGAGCCTTGGCTGCTTCCCTGTGAAAGCACACCACCTCCAGGCTCTTAGCTGCTGAGGATAAAATCAGGTGACAGACCGCAAGTCCCAGCAGGGTGTCTGGTATGTAGGAGGTCCTCAGTGAATGAACCAGTGAGAAATGAGCACTGGCCTGGCACTAAAAGCTCCCACCACCACCACCACCAGGTACTTCAAGCACAGCGATGGCAGCTTTTCCAATAAGCAGTGGATCTTCTTCTGGTTTGGCCTGGCTGATATCCGAGACTCCTATGAGCTGGTCAACCATGCCAAGGGGCTGCCGGACTCCTTCTGCAAACCAGCGTCTGACCCAGGCAGCTGACCCTCACCACCAGCCCTGCAGGCCCTGGGACAGCCAGGGTGGACCGAAAGCCCTGTCTGCTGGAGGTGACTCCCGGCAGCCACAGGCGGGACCAGGTTTGTTGGCGGGTGATCTGGAGGAGGAAGCAGCCCCTCCTGGACTCTGCCCGAGGCAGGAGGCGAAGGGGGACAAGCACAGGAAGTCCGTCCAAGACCTCCACTCGCTCCAAAGCCACCAACAGATGGCCTTTGATTTTCCGTCCAGGGGTCTAGGGGGGAGGGGAGGGGTTGCCTTCCCGGGCTCTACTCAGGGCTAAACTTTAGAGCAGGTTAGTTTCTGTGGCTTCTGTGCTGTGTTTTGAGGCTCCTTCATCGATCTTCTACCACTCATTTTCATTCCTTTGGGGGTTGCAACTTTTCAGGAGGCCTTGATTAAAATGAAAATACTTGTCTGAGAGTTAGCTCACACTTGAAAGGAGCAGTGACTCTCTGGGAGCAAGATCTTGTGGGCTGGGGAACCAGGGGACTTGTAGAGAGTAGAGGAACTAAATGAGATGGAGGGCCCCCACGATGAATGCTGCCACCATGTCCCTCAATGCAACCCCGAGGGGCTCCCCTATTCCTAAGTTGGGGAACATCCTCCATTCCACAGACCAGCCCGACAGCAGTCCCAGCTCCCTTTCAGGCAGGGCACAGAACCCCTGCAGCCCCCTAAAGGCTGTGTCCCCATCTTTGTGGGAGCAGACAGGCAGTAGCCCAAAGCTGGAGGTTTCATTGAATATTTTTGACGCCCATGATGTTCCAGGTACCACACTGGTTGCTGGGACTACCTTCTGCCAGGAGGTGCATGGATGAGTAGGGAGAGGGCCCATTAAGAGGCCACCATAGCACAGCAGGGACTGAGAACCAAACCCCAAGAGCAGCCCGTCTTCCCTCAGAAGGGTGATGTTCAGTATAATCTGGGCGATGGCATTGCACGGCCTGACCTGCAATCCAGCTCTGTGGCTGGGTTTGCCCTGTGGCTTGAGGCAAGCTGCTTACCTTCTCTAGTCTCCATTTCCCTTGGCCTCATAGTGGACACTTAATGTTAGTTCTCCCCCTCAAGGTTGCTCTAAGGATTTATTCAAAAACAGCTGACATCAAATGGGGAGGAAAAATAAGCTACAATAAGGATTGAGGTGAGAGGTCAAAAGAACATACTACAGGGAGGATGAGGAGATCCTTGAAGAGAGCCAAAGGACTGTGGGAACTCTCAGAATAGGGGCAAGATTACGGCAGGACCTTGATGGAGCTTAACCAGATATGTTCTTTCAAGAAACCCAAGATCAATCCCAGCCAATGGCAAAGTGTCCCATGGGGAGAACAGAGAAGCAAAGCCAAATGTCTGTATAAAATGTTTATTTTTGGAGGACTGTGTGGTCTGGTGTTTGGGAGGGCACTCACCCCCACCAGGCCATCCATGGAGCTGGAAACAGAAGGCAGGAAGCGGGAAGTTGGCCGCTGCCCACCCCTTCACACCCGAGTAGACTGTGGCCTGCTCTGCTCTCAAACTAGTGTTATTTCTGCCCCTGGCACATCCTGAGAACCCATGTGACTTCTGTGGCGACCAGCCCCTCTGCTCCTCCAGGGCCTGATCCACTTGTCAGCGCGCATACTCGTTCGCATAGCCTCTCGTTCGCATAGCCTCGCTGCATCTGCCAGTTCAAAAGGAATTTTTCACTTTTGCTCTCTTCCAGTTCTTAGGTCTTCCTTCCTGTCTCCCACACCCAGAACTCCTACCCTAGTGCTGCTTTACTCTCTTCTCTGGCCTCAGCTCTCCTCCTAACAAAGGGAGAAAAACCCTGTAAGGCATCATCATCAGGGCTCCCCCATCAAGCTGAGCCCAGGAATTGGGGAACAGACCTGTCTCTTACCAACACACCCACATACACACACAGAGCAAAGAATCAAACAAACAGACCAAAAAGCATAAATAAACATAACCGGGCCAGCAAGAAAGGTAGGGTGACCCTCAGTGGCTCCCTGCACCCATTTCAGCTTCTCCCAGTGCAACTCAGCCATCAGTGGCTAGGATGACAGCGGCCCCAAAGATGCCCACACTCTCTCCAAGGAGCTTCATCTGGTTCCAGAACTCCACACGCCGTGTGTTGTGCCAGTAGGCAACATTGCCGTCAATGAGCAGCATGACCGGGGGCAGCAGGACAGCCAGGATCTGGGCAGCCAGGGTCACGTAGTAGCCAGACAGGAAGGCGAGGGCCAGGATGCCGTACAGCAGGAAGAACAGCTGGATCATGAGCTCCCCTCCTGGTAGATGGTTCAGATACGCCAGCCGGTCCTCCTTGCTGTGCTGCAGTGAGTAGGCCTAGAGACAAACCATCTTTTAAGACTGTAACAAGCTGAGGAGCCTGTCGGAAGCCCACCCGAGATGGCACTTGCAAGTCAGCCTCTGCAAGGTGGGCTTCTGACTCCTCTCTCAGACTTGGGGCTCTCTGAAAGTGGGACCTACATCTCCCCATCAGACTAGGGAGCTACATGACATTAAAGTCTATGTCTTTCCTCTCTCGGGGAGCGTAGAAGATAGCTGGGGCTCTCACCTCTGAATCCAGAGCTCTGCACCGGAATATGGTGCCCAGTAACAGATGAGGGCAAGGAGCCTGGGGCCTGTTCATGTCCCCATCCACACTGGCCTCCCCTAGGGATAACCATAATTGGCTAACTATGGCATCTCCCATCAGTTCTTTTTTTTAAAATCCTCAGCTGAGGATTTATTTACTGATTTGAGAGAGAGAGGAAGGGAGAGAAACATCGATCTGAGAGAAAAACATCAATTGGTTGCCTCCCATACATGCCTCGACAGGGGATCAAACCCACAACCTAGGTAAGTGCCTGACTGGGAATTGAACCCGCACCTTTTTGGTGTACAGGACAGCACTCCAACCGAGCCAGCTGACCCAGGCTTTTTTTTCTTAATTCAATCCCCATCAGTTCTAAGTGGCACAGTCCCAGCTGCTGCCTGAACCCACCAAACCTCTCCTTTGTCTCCTCTCCCAGTCCTCTAGGAGGTGGAGCTATGAGAGGAACAATCCATCTTGTTCTCCTGCCTCTCAGGCTTGGGAGTGAATGGCCAATTCAACCTTTTCTCCCCCTGGTGGCTATAATATTGGAAGAATACTGGCCAGGTCTCAGGCCCTTGGAGGGCCTCTGAGGCATGGCCATCAGGATCTACAGGCCCACCTCCCTGAGTTCTGCCAAGCATGGGCTCACATTTTACTCCCAGTCAAGCACCTCCAGCCAACAGTCCCAAAACCTACCACACAGATGAGGTAGATGCCCAGGAAGACCTGGCCCGTGGACTGGAGGGAACGGCTGCGGGGTTTCCGACGGTAGAGCTCCCCAGCACCGCTAGCCAGCACAAGGAATCCGCCAATGATGGCAACTGTGCGTGAGTACATACGGACCTAGGCCAAGGCAAGGGGACCCGTCAGGAACTGCAACTGCCACATATTCCCTGACTGCACAGAGCACAGAACTTCCTCTCTATACCTTCCCTTCCATGTGATGAGCCCTCTTACCATTTCCCAGTGTGGTGAGCAGGTACGGCAGAAACATAATTCTTTTTATCAGAAGTGCCCAAAGGGGTTAATTAAATTGTTCAAGATCCTACAGAAAGTGGCAGAACCCAGTTACCAAGTGTTGTCCCCTTCCCACCCCCAGGCCTGCAGCCCGGAATCCCCATGTTCTTTCTGCTATTTAGCATAGTCTGTTCCATAAAAAACCCATTGATCTCACTTTCCTGTAGCCGCTCACACAGCTGCCTCCCCGCCTGGACAGACAGCCTTCCTTAAGGGCAGTGCCTCTGTCCAGGCCTCTCTCCAAGCCCACAATGCCTGGAGGGGTTCTGGCATTTACAGGCTTATGTGCTGCACTAGGATTACTTAAATTTCACAAAATTACATCTTTGGATCAGACACCTCCAAGGTTCCTTTAGCCCTCTGAGTCCGGGATTACTAAACTAACGGTTTAGGGTCCTGCAAACCAGGTGACCTAGGTCCTGGCTCCGCCTGCGCTGGTAACTGTGGTGTGCCTTGGGGTAAGTCTGTTTCCCATCCGTGGACCTCAGCTCCCACACTCTGGAAGGAAGGTGTGTGGGGTCTCTCAGGTCCGTCCATTGCAGTCTGTAAAACCCCCGCACGGCCAAGGCTCGCCATCACCCCAGCCAAGTCCTCCGCAGGCCGGCCGCTCACCTTCAGCCAGTCCCCGTAGTGGACGTAGCCCCCGACGTAGGCGGCGTAGGTGCTGACGGCCAGCTGCAGGGCGGCCCCCAGCGCGAACCAGCGCCGCTTCACCCCGAAGGACATGAAGCTGGCGCACAGCACGGCCGCCCCCATGTCGAAGTACAGGTAGGGCACTGGTATGTCGGGCTTCCTGCAAGCCGGGAGGGGCAAAGAGGTCAGAATGAAGAGGGGAGAAGAGCCCGGAGCCCCCTTGACTTCCCGCCAGCTCCACTGCTCCTCCAAACCCGAGACCCCGCTCATGGCCGTGACCCCCGCACTACGCTCGATGTCCACCGTGCTCCGGACCAGAGCCCCTAACAGTCTGAGATCCCAGGTCCTCCCAGCCCCAGGCCCAACTCCTTCCCCACCTCACCGCAGCCTCCCACCGCGGGGGCCCGCTCACCGGCGCGCCTCGGCCCTCTCGGCGTACAGCATGAGCTGGCTGAAGCAGCCCCAGAAGGGGCAGCGTGTGAGCAACACCGAGCCCAACTGCATGAGCAGCTGCAGTAGCCACCGTCGCGAACCCACCTTCGACGCCATCTTGGGGAAGGGCAGTCCGCCGCGGCCTCAACCGGGTCTGGGAGGCTGGCGCGGGGGTGTGACACGCAACTTCCGGTCTCGCGGGGTTTGCTTTTACCTCTTCCGTTGGGAAACAAGGCTCGCGTCCTGTAGTTCTGGACCGAAGGAGATGTTCTAGCAACAGAGTTCAGCCTTTCCCTCTGCCCATGGAGGCTTACGGCCCCCTCTCTGTAGATGCAAAATTGAAAACTAGACTAAAGGAAGGAACAGTGGGAAGCCTTGAGTCATAAACTTAATGAAGCGAACTAGTCTTGGAATGCAGCTAGAAGATCCTAACTCCAACCCTGTTACTTAGGGCATACTGGCTGTACTTCCCAAGATTGCTCTGAGATAGAAATGACTTCTACTTTAGGGTTGCTGTGAGGTTTAAATGTGACCGTGTTGGTGCTAGCACATAATAGGGGTTCAGTAAATGCTGTGCATACGCAAGCCTGAGGAAATCCTGCTTTTGTTTAAATTCAAACGGGTTCTCCAAAGTTACCTGTAGAGAAGGATGGTCTTGGTCTGCCCTTCTTACATCCCCTAAGAGAAGAGATCTGAGGTGTATATATGGGACATCTCACTATCAGTCCATATTCTTCAATTGCCACACTCCCAATCTAGCCCAAACTACCATCTTTTGTAGGTTTAACTGCAGCAGGTTTCCAACTGGTCTCCCCCACTTCTCCTTTGGTCTCATTTGTTCTCAGCTTCCTATTTTCATAACCATCAGGCACCCTTCTTTTGAATCACTTGGCGCACGGGCAATTATGTATCTGTCATTCTTCTGTTAATGATTAGAGTAACACTAGTTTGTGAGCTCCAGGCCAAGGACAGTGTCTGGTGTCTGTTTACTACTATATTCGCAGGCCCTAGTATACAAGATTCATTCAGGACGTATGTGCTGAATAAAGTGAACTAAAGATGTTGCCACTATCCTATTCATCGTAGGTACTTAGTAATTATGTGTTGGATAAATAAATGGGCAAAAGTTCTGGGCATTCTGGGATTGCCACCACAAAGCTGCCCCCACATAGCTTCCTGCACCCCACCCACCACCCTACAATATAAATTTATCTTCCAATAATGAAGTTAAGGTTCTATAAGCACTCCCACTAGGCCATTTAATTCAGGTCTGTTTCTAGTTCCCTTGGGGGAAAAGGGGCCTCACGTCCAAACAGCATTCTGACCATGTGAATTAAAAATTTCCCATCAGCCCAGCAGGCGTGGCTCAGTGGCTGAGGGTCGCCCTATGAACCAGGAGGTCACAGTTCAAGTCTGATCAGGGCACATGCCTGGGTTGTGGGCTCAGTCCCCAGTGCAGGGCGTGCAGGAGGTTGCCGATCAATTATTCTCTCTCATCATTGATGTTTCTATCTCTCTCTCCTTCTCCCTTCCACTCTGAAATCAATAAAATTCTATTAAAAAAATAAAAATTTCTGCTCAGCCAGTAAAAGCTAGACTACAAACACTTTTTCATATTTAACTTTTTACAAAGTCACTAGGATAAAGTCTGGGTATGTTAGAATGTGAGAGAGGGATATATCCATGCAAAAACAAAACAAAACAAAAAAACAGAAACAAAAAAAAATCCTAGGGAATGGAATTATGTAGGTGTATGGTGGGGCAGAGGGTGGGGAGGTAGGGTCTCCAGGTAAGAGGAATGAGAAAAAGCCTGGATTAAAGGTCATTTTGGCTCTAGCTGGGTTGCTCAGTGGTTGGAGTGGTAGCAGGTTAGATTCCGGTCAAGGGCATGTACCTCAGTTGCAGACTTTAGTTGGGGCAAGAGCGGGAGGCAACTAATGGGTGTCTCTGTCTGTCTCCTCCACCCCACTTCCACTCTATCTAAAAATCAATGAATAAAATATCCTCGGGTGAGGATTAACAACAAAAAAGTCATTTTGCCTACCTTCCCTGCCCACCAGTGACAACTACATGAGAAAGTTTTCATCACCGTAACACAAGCACATAGTACAGAATAATCTTTCCAATTGACTTTATTTCCTAATCTCCTCACCCATCCCTGATTCAAATGGGACAAGATACACAACCTTGGGAAGGAGCTAAGGTATTGAGGACTGGAAATGGGATCATACATGTCCATGAATAGTTTTAGGAGCCTGCACCTGGAACAATCCCCTACCCCAGATCACACCTTCCGATTAAGTCCCCCAAAACAGACGGCAGGGACATATATGAAGGAGAATAGGATTAATGAAGGTTTTCCCTGGTACCCACCCCATCCCATCCCATCCCACCCCATCCCATCCCATCCCAATCCCCTCTGGTGTTCAGTCTCTATCTTTTATTGCTTTCTCCCCAGAGGGGTACTGAGGGCTAGAGGCCAAGTCCCTCTTTATAGGGCTAGGAAAGATGCTGGCATTTGTGCTAGGTCAGAAGTGGTAAATAAGTGAGTAGTGGGGTTCTAAGACCTGAGATGAACATAGCCATTTGTCCTTCCTCTCTCCACCCCTGCCTGGACAGACAACAGCTCATAAGACTCCTGAGGAACATTCCTTCTCCTCAGTCCATCTGCCCTCCCCAATCCAGCTGCCTCCGCTTCCCTCTAGAGCACACCCTTCCTCTCCAGAGGGCTTCCCTGTTCCTCTGGGGCACCCCCTCCTGCACTTGCCCTCGGCCATGACCACAGCACCATGGTGACTAGCATGGTGCCTATGATACCCAGCACAGTAACTGTCTCAGATAAGCAAAGCTAGGCCTCCACACTACTCAGCTATGCCCCCTGCCAGCCTCCCAGGTCCAGCACAAGTCACGTTGCCCAGGTTGGCCACATACAAGTGCCACAGATGGTCCAGCTTCTGGAAAGCCTGCTGCAGAGATTACTGGCCAGCAGCAGCCGTGTGCATGCTGTCCGGATGCCTGCCATCACCTTAAATTCGAGGTGCTGAGTCGCCTACTAGAGAAAGGAGGCCCAGCATGCACAGAGCTGCAAAGGCCTCAGCCTCTAGCTTGCTGATGTCATTCCCAGCCAGAGGACCTCCAGGCCTGGCATGGTGGCCAGGGCCACATCCCCAACTTGCTGTAGCTGGTTCCCAGTGAGCAAGAGCCAGTGTAGGCAGAAGTGGCCCCCAAACTGTGGCCAGGCTGCGGCTCAGGTCAAGCTGTTCCAGGTTTCCCAGGCCCCACAGGCTGCAGGGGTCCACGTTGGGGAGCAGGTTGTGAGAGGTGTAGGCGGAGCAGAGCCCAGGGTGGCTGAGAAGTCCATGGACAGGTGGGCCAGCTGGTTGTAGCTGACACCCAGCTGCTCCAGAAAAACCCAGGCCACCCAGTGCTCTACCAGCCAGATCCCATAGGACATTGTGAGAAAGCAGCAGCACTTGCAGTCCCCACAGGCCCTGGAAGGAGCCGCCTGGCAGGTGGCTGGGTTATTGTGGCTCAATTCCAAGAGCCAGGCTGTCAGGAAGCCTGGGAGGGAGACTGAGCAGGTGGAGGCCTCCACAGTCCACCACTCAGTGGCTAGCCAGGTGCATGGTACTGGGTATGCTGCCACCAGATTCCCAAGCAAGGCTGATGCTGCTATTGTAGCCATGGGAGGAATGGCCACACCTGCCCTGTCCTTGCCCCACGATCGGCTGGGGTGAGGATGGCCTCAGGTGCTCATGGATGCTGAGACCTTTATGCTTCACTCCTCCACCCAGAACCCTGGGCAAGCATGGGAGCTAGGAGGGAAAAATAAAAGCAGACACATCAGGGGTCTTTTCGCTATCCGGGCCCCAACGTGGTCTCCAGGAATCTCCCCTCCATCCCCTCTGATTTTACCTCCTACCTAGGTTCTGGCAAGTCATCTCAGCTGGAAACCCCAGCATCCTGGTCCCCTACCCCCAGCCACTATCATTCCCTTATTCCTACCAGAATGAAAAGCTATCAGGGGCCGAAACCGGTTTGGCTCAGTGAATAGAGCATCGGCCTGCGGACTGAAGGGTCCCAGGTTCAATTCCGGTCAGGGGCATGTACCTTGGTTGCGGGAACATCCCCAGCGGGGAGTGTGCAGGAGGCGGCTGATCGATGTTTCTCTCTCATCGATGTTTCTAACTCTCTATCTCTCTCCCTTCCTCTCTGTAAAAAAAAAATTAATAAAATATATTAAAAAAAAAAAAAGCTATCAGGGAAGATGGACTTTTTAATCCTTCGGGTCCCTTTTTCACTCCAATTTCACACTTCACCTCCCTTATTTCCCATACAGTCCCAGTAGAAATGCCTTCTCCTGCCTGCAGAGTAGAGCCCTGGCTAGATCCTGGCCTAATCTAGCCACTGGACTTGTCAAGGCCTCAGGCCTCAGAAACCCAGGGCACTCACCTGTATTCCTGCCACCATCTGCTGAATGCAGTCCCAGTCCAAGAATGGCAATGGAAAGAATCTCAGCTCTAGTTACCTGCCCTCTTGGCCTCAGGCCGGAGCCCCACCTCCAAAAGCTGTAGAGAGGTCAGCTTTCAGGGAAGCCATAGCCCTGAGAGTGGGGATGAGATACAGGCTGAGGAAATCGCCAAGGCCTTGTGAAGGTCTTATATCTTGCCCTGTTGTTCTAAGAACAGGTCCACCCCCTCCCCTTTCTCCCTCCTAGATCCCCACACCCCGCTCTATTTCGTATCAGAATAGTAGCTTGAGGCTCCTTGGAGCCCACTCTCAAGTCAGGAAGGAGCCAGGTGTCTCATTCTATACTGCCTCCCTCCTAAACCTGCCATCTTCTATATAATTCACCTAAGTCTTGTCTAGACGCAAAGGAAGGGCATGCTCTCTTGTTCTCACTAGTTCAGAGATCAAAATACTCAACTCTGGTTTTCAAAGAGAGCCCAGCATCTCCTTCTGAAACAAAGAGGGCTCTGGGGCCAGGTGTCTGTACCCAGTGCTTCTACCTGGGCTCAGGAGGCCAAACAAATTACTTTCTATGTTCCCCAGTGTGCTCATTAGCTCCACCCAGCAAATTCTTCAAAGAATAATGACATTTGGAGGAGATGGTTACTCAAGGCCAAGCATCTCATTAAAGGCTTCATTTAACACAGTGGGGCCTTGACTTACGAGTTTAATTCGTTCCGTGATGGATCT